CGGAGATGCGTGGAGCATCATTGCATGTAAGTGCCCGTTCTCTTTTTACTGACTTTTAGTCAAACATTGTTTGATCATAAGACCAGTCACCAATGTTTGAGAAAGAAAAAGTTTGAGTTAACTGCCGTTCTGGTTCAAAATGTCTTACACGTGTACTGTTTGTAAATTCAAAGCTGTGTCAACTCCCGCATTTATTCGACATGTTAAAATGCACAGAAATGTCGCCAACATTAGATTTCACTGTGGCTATGCAGACTGTCCTTCTGCTTTTTCAACAGTAATTGCTCTTCAAAAGCATATGTACAGAATCCATACGCCCACAGTTAAATCAAGGGCGCAAACGCAAGGACATGCTTTGACATGCAAATTTGAGGAGCGTACCTTTGTGTCAAAGCGTGTAGCAACCTTATGGGAGCATCTACAGCTACAAAAGACAAGTGGGACAATTCAAAAGTGCCTTGCCCCTTTGATAACTGTCCAAAGACTTTTTCTGTCCGTTCATCTTTCACCTCACACATCAGTCTGAAACACAAAGCAATAATTTGCACCTCTATTGCTGCTGCTGCCAGCACAGCTAGCTTGTTGGACACTGAAATGACTAAAACAGCTCAACCAGGTTTAGATGACAATCATGAAGCAGAAGTGTTGGATGGTGACACTGAATTAGATGAGAATGAGTTCATGACCAGTTTGGCCTTGTTCTATCTCCAGATGCAGGCTAAAATGCTGCTGCCTACCAGCATGATTCAAAAAATAATTGAAGAGTTCCAGCAGGTGCACAGTTCATGCACAGCCCATCTTTTGTGTAAGCTCCATCAAGATTTGACTCAGTTAAATGTGCCTGAAAATGAAATCAGAAATCTCATTGATAATCTGTCAAAAAACGACCTGATGAAAAGATGCAATGGAGTTTTTAGAAGTGATCAAACACGGAAAACGCTTTTCAAGCGTGAATTCAATTATGTTGAGCCAACAGCGATTTACCTGGGTATTGACAGAAATGGAAAAGAGATTTTGCCAGTATGTGTCCATTAAAGAGACACTCAAGGCATTACTTAGCCAAGGATCAGTTCAAGAGCAAAATCTCCAAGCAAAATCTGAAACAACTCCTGATGTCCTCGAAGATCTGAGAGATGGTAAAATCATAAAAAACATTACATTATTAAATGAATCACCATCCTCAGTAGGTATAATCTTATATCAAGATTCATTTGAGGTTGCTAACCCCATTGGTTCTGGCAGAAAGAAGCACAAGATCTTGGCTATGTATTTGACGCTAGCAGAGATCACGGCATACAACAGATCTTCCATTGACCAAATGCAACTAGTTTTGTTGTGCAGGGAGGAGGACTTCAATTTTTTTTGGCCAAGAAAATGTATTTTGTGCTGCAGTTAATGACCTGAAAGAAATTGAAGACAGTGGTATTCATGGTCCTAGAGGGAATAATGTGAGGGGTACTGTTTTGGCCATAACAGGAGATAATCTAGGATCTCATTGCATTGGAGGTTTTACTGAAAACTTCAGTAGAAGCAGATACTTCTGCAGATATTGCCTCATTGACAGGGAAACCTGGGAGCAATCTCCAACAAAACCAGGTCCAGCTAGATCAGTTGAGACCTACAAAAACTGTGTGGCAGAGGGGGAAATGGCATATGGGGTAAAGTCTGACTGTGTTCAATCAGCTGAAGTATTTTCATGTTTGCCAGCCAGGCCTCCCTCCATGTTTGGGTCACGATCTGTTTGAAGGGATTGTTTCTGTTGATCTTGCTCTATATATAAAGCACCTAGTAAAGATTGAGAAACAGTTCTCATATAACCATATAAACAGGATAATATCACATTTGCCCTACAAAGGCAACAATGCCAACAATAAACCATGTGAGGTAAAAGCAGATGGCGAAAAGCTTGGTGGCCATGCTGCTCAGAACTGGTGCCTCTTGCGTCTCCTTCCTGTAATGGTTGGGGACAGAATAAAAAATCCCCTTGAAAAGTATGTTTGACAGTTGTGTCTCAAGTTGAGAGAGGTTGTTGAGCTAATATGTGCACCGAAGATCCACAAAAACCAAGTTGCATATCTTCAGATGCTTATTGAGGAGCACCTTGAAATGAGAAGAAAAAATTCCCAGGAAATTTCCTGCAACCCAAACATCATTACCTTGTTCACTACCCTGCGCTTATCCTCCATTTTGGCCCACTTATTCGATTATGGACGCTGCGTTTTGAAAGCAAGCACAGTTATTTTAAACAGTGTGCAAGGAAGCTTCATAATTTTAAAAATCTCTGCAGCACTTTAGCTGAAAGACACCAGCTGCTGCAAGCTTACTTGCATGCTGGCAGATTCTTTCCGCCATTGCTTCAAATAGGGGAATCCATGAAGTTCCATGACAAACTCTACCGGATAGCAATACAGAGAGCAGCCAGTCTCCGTGACCTTCGTCCAGAGAACACTTTTGAAACAGCCTCTGTTACATTTACAGGGACGCTGTACCAAAGAGGCATGGTTATTGTTGTCAACCAAAATGACACAGGCTACAAGTTTGGGAAAATTGTGCTCATACTGATTAATCAGTCATGTGTGTATGTTGTTGTTGAGCTGTACCAGTCAGTGCGTGTTTTGGATCTCGGTGTACACGGTCTACAAAACAGTCATGATGCTCATTACGAGTGTGTGTCTATGGACAGTCTTGCAGACTACTATCCATTGGCCACATATAATCAGTTTAGTCTGAACTTGATTGCCTTGCACCATTCAGTGTGTTACAGGTAAAAGACATGGACTCCATTGAGCATGCTATTCAGAGCGTGCTACCACAGCTACAGAGGGAGAAGGTGGAAGCAGTGATTCACGAGCTTGAAACCACATTGAGTGTGGAAGGGCCAGATGATCTTCAGTTTATCAAAGAGGCAGACATCAGTCACCTACTATCGCCCATTCAGTGCAGAAGATTGATTAATTCTTTCAAAAGTCATAAGCTGTCTCAATTAGCCTACAAGTTTATGTTCACTGCAGTTGTATTTTGATGATAATGACTATTAAGAAGAAAAATGCAGGAATGAAACAAAATTAACCATTGTGTTTTTTCTGCCTATGTCAATTTGTTATGCAGATCCAAAAAGTCCTCAGCCTATCACCTCCTCACCCATTTCTTCCCCCTCTAGCTCATTTTCAAATTAGCCTTACACCAGTCCATTAACCAGTCCACAAGGACACAGCAAATGGGTGGATGGATTTCAGGTGCTATGGGACAAAATGAGGCCCTCTCTCAAAAGAGCCATTGATGATGGTAATCGTCCAGAGCCAGGGGATCGCAGTCTTATGGTGAAAGTCAATGTTGATTCCATGAGAGAACACTGCTTGAACCCGACACGAAAAGACTACACAACAGTAGCAAAAGCCATAACTTAGATGTATCCTGGCAGCTTTTTAGATTAAACGGATGATGGAGAAAGTATTGGATGTGGATTAGGGTTGTCACGGTAACGGGTGCAGCGGTAAACCCCGGTAAAAAGGTTGACAACAATAATAACCGTCTTGTTTTAAAAAAATAAATAAATTATCTCGGTGGATTGCCGTGGCTGCGGTGTAGGCGCGGTGACCCTTACCAGCCACCGTATCATCTGCTGAAGTTGTCTGCGGCACATGCGCACTTTGTTGTTTACAACCAAAATCTTTCTTGAAGCTAAAGCTGAAATAATGGCCAGAGGAGATGGCAGCACTCGGGACATTTATTATCCCTCAAAGAAGACAAAGTCGGAAGTATGGGCATTTTTTGGATATTTGAAGAATGCTGAGGGACAGCTGATAGAAGACGGCTATCCTGTTTGCAGCACGTGCAGAAAAAGTGTCTGTGAAAGGCAGCAACGCTACGAGGCCATCATAATGCAGCCATTGTCTCACGACTCCGCCGTCTCCAGTTCGCCACTTTTCACAAAATCTTCTGGTTGCCACTGGTCCTGGTGGTTTTTCTTCCAGTTCGACGAGTTTTCTTTTGGAAGGCTGGCTGACTCCAGTTAAAAACCGCCACATTTCACCGCTAGTTTTAACACAAAGCTAACTGCTAACTTGATAAACTGATTGAATGGGATAGGTGGAAATGACGTTGGATGCGGCGCTCACGTTTCGCGTACGTTTGTGTACGCTGCATGCAGTCGGGAGGAGTATCAGAAATCCATGGAAGATGACTGATAAACATAACTCATTTGGTGCAAACATTTACTCGCCAGGTGGCAGGTAGAGCTCAAAAATGTACTCGCCAAATGGAGCAATTTGCTCGCATTTGGTGAGTGGCGAGTGTTAATTTCAGACCCTGATCAAAATATCAACTTCCAGGCAGAAACAAACTTTCAGAGACTTGTCAGTACAAACTTTTAATCTAAATATATTACTTTGTATTTTAGTAATCAAAAAATTTTATTCGCAAACTATCGGTGTATCAGATCAATATCACATATACTAGTCCTCATTTTACTTGGTATCGGATCGGAAAGGAAATCAGTGGTATCGCGCATCACTTGTGTGTTACAATGAAAAGTTGTTTTTAATAAGTATTTCTAATGATAATCGATCACTTTGAGCTTTTCATGCAAGCTGAACATGACAACAGTCTCCTACACCTATCTCCTGCATTTGCTTCTGATAGAAAACAGACAGTGAAACTCTGGGTTTTGAAAATCCTGATAGATTTATGTCAGTAGGGCTGCACAATACATCACAAAGGTATCGTCATCGCGATACTGGCATGCAAAATACGCAGATTGCAAAGAACAAAAAAATAAAAACACAATTGTGCAAGCCAATATCGCCATCATGATACATTTGCAATTTAAGATTGAATTTCTTGTATTATATCATGATACATAAAATGCTGAAATTGACAACGGATTTTCTATTCCCAGTGACTGTGTTGGCAATATTGTGTGAAATATCCACTGTATTTAAAAAGCAACAAAACCTGTGGTTAGTAGTGGTATAACAATAAACACAACTGCTTAGACTGACCATATGACGAGTCCTGTGACAACAGCAACCCAGGTGACACAGCAGGTATCAGGCCTTTTGGTGTCTTCATCCCCTTTCCTTCTGCAGCAGCACAAACACACCAGGTACACCGCCAGGACAAGCAGGCTCAAGCTAGCACCCACTGCACCAACGCACGCCAGAAATATTACAGACTGAAAGAGAATGATGACAAGAAATGTTAAACACCACTCATGTTTAAAGATATTTTAGGCTAATGTAGATGTGCTTTATTATCAAGTAATTACAGCTGACTGCTGCACACTGGAAAAAAAAACACTGAAAGAACGTCCGTCTTCTGAAGTTTGATTGTAAAAACGTTTTAGAAAGTTTCAAGTGGACTAGGATTAACAGTGAAGCAGTCTAAGTAAAGAACAAAGAGCCATGGCTTTAGAGGGGGAGGCATCATGTGACACAGGGGCTTTGGCTCAAGTCTTGTGATTTCTGAGTGTGCAAAATATTTAAAGCCTAAAAGATGGTCGGACACAGATGAGCGTTGGTGTTGAAATTATTTAATGTAATCACATTTTTGTGTAGATAAAATTCAGATTGTTTCAGCACTTTCAGGACTAGATGCAATATTATTTACCAGTTGTGTTAGCTTGAGGTTTTATGACCCACAAGCTCATGAAAATCCAGTTGACTGTCCAACAGATTTTAACATTCCATCTTTGACAGATTGTATTTCTGGACTGATATTAAGAGAGAATATTAAGATAACATGTTTTGCAGATTTAACAAAGCCAGTCATTGTAGCTATTTATTTTTTACTTATTATTATTTTTGCTTTTACTAAAGATATCTCAGGTGAGGAGCAATAAAAAATGCTTAATCCTCCACCAACCATAAATCCAAGTCAAACAGTTAAACAGCTGGTTTGTTGGTTGTTCTTTTCGAACAGCTGAGTTAGAATCGACCTCGTGTGAAGTCCATGATGGGTTCAAATCCTGTCGTGTTGTCAACCCAGCTCATGCTCCACATAAGGACATCACTCCAATGGCTCCTTTAATTTTTCACTCATTGGTTTAATAATTATACATGCTGGCACTTCAATTTCCACTGTACTCAACACCATGACAACAGAACAGATGCACGATGGAAGGAGGACAGACGAACAACTGTAATGTCATCAACCAGAATGCTCTGATGTTTTATCTTCGAAAAAGGATGTTTGTAGAAAATTGGTATGAAACAAGCACAAACAATCTTGTTTCACTTTTCTTAAAGGCTAAAGATCAGTTCTCATTAGAGCTGAAACACGTCTGCTCAGCAGGCTGTGATGGGTAGTTTGTCATATCCACTAACCCCAAAACGGTACATTTGAAAGCAAACATATGTATAAAAATGATTTAAATGTAGTGAACTAGTTTATTAGTAAACAGACTCAGACTTCATTGCATTTATAAAATGAAATAAAATACACAAATAAGCACCCTAGAAAGCAAATAAAAGATTCATGAAGGCTGGGCTCAGCTTCCCAAAGAGATTTAATTCCTATGTTGTTGTTGGCATCAGTTAGTCCCCATTTCTATAAAAACGAGTTTACAGGCCCTCAAACTCTGTTTTCATCTTTCTACATTTAAGGATTATTTACTTAAATGCCAGCTTTGCCATTTAAAAGTTCTAGAGGCTTAAAACTGCACATCAATCATCATTTAGAAAATGAGCTTTTGACTGACTAAAGAAAACACACGAGTGTGCCAGACCTCCTTTTTATCACCTGGTTCCTCAAAGCGTATACACGCATCAGGTGGAAACTGTAGGTGTTTCTATTTCCTGCTATTTTTCTATCAAAACTCTAGTTTACGCACAGCCATCCTTACAGAAGATGAAGACATATTTGTCTCTCCAGGACAGCCTTTTCAAACACTTCTCACTGAGCGTATGCAGTTAAATATAAGGTTTATAAAAGCCGGGGTTCAGCAATAAGAACAACGTGCGCGTTTGGGTACAGGAGCATTTACCAACCTGCTGGTAGCTCGCCTCCTCCGGCTGGAAAGTGTTGTTCACCGGCTGGAAACGAAGATTGAAGTGTGGAAAGTTGTGCAGCCAGTATGTCCACCACGGAGCGACATAATCAAGCCTGGCAGTGGCCATTACTGCCGGAGGAGTCAATCCAGCAAAGCTCTGAAACAAGTTTCTCTGGGAGACCCACACGCTGCGTCCTCCCCAGGAGGGCCGAGTGTTGACAGAAGGATAAAAATAAATAACAATATAAAATGTTTGAGTTCTTATCGAGGCTTTCACGAAAGTGTGAGCTCCTCGGGTGAAACACCTTCCAAAGCATGGTCCATATCACGGGTCTCAACCCCGGGCCATGGTGGGACACAGCCGGGCAGCGGAGGTCAGGATGAACGCCTCCTCCTCCAGAGCTGGAGGCGTGCCAGCAGCACGGCTACACCCAGCCGGTATCAGGGGAGGTGTAAATCACAGGAACTAGTACATTAAATCCAGCCAAACTATTAAAAACCGAACTTTCAGATCAAAGCTTTCTGCTTCATAAAGCACCTCGCCCTTTGTGTTTGAGTAAAAGAAACGCGAACAAATCCGAGTCATTCAAAGGAAACTGTTTTCCGCTCCAGCCGACCTGAACTTCTGTCAGCTGGTAAACGACAAGCTGGGATTTTCAGCACTATTTATGACTTGTGCTGTTAATGTCTGACCTCTTGTGGACAACAAGGCGCATTGAGGTGAACAGAAGCTCCTGCAGACTACATGTCTGTGTGGGGACGTCAGGGAGGGTTGGAGTAAAATCTAGATGATCTGACAGAATGCGTTCACAGTTTGGGTTTGGAGAACAGAGTTTTTACTAAAGGTTTTGTACAATAAAGGCGATGTTATGATCAACTTCTTACAATGTGTATGGGTCTTTGGAAGAGTCAGAAGATGGGAAAACCCAGCAACAGCTCTCATGTTCAGATATTAAACCTTAAAGCTTTTCTGAACAAGTTTAGTTGTGTTGTGAGAGGATCTGGGTGAGTGGAAGACTTGCATGACCAAAGTTAAAGGAAAAATTGTAGAATAAGTTATCATTATTATAGAATCATTAATATGCAATAAGGCAATAAGACACATCTTGGCCCAGTTGGATCTTGATAGGTTCAGGTTGTTGTTCTCTACATGCTTGGTTACACAATTTGGACACATCCTCATAGGTCTGTAGTAATGGTACACAGACAATAATGTCAGTTTTTGATTTGTTGTGACCGATTATCTTGTTTAACTTGCCAACTCTTGTTGCAATTTATGTATTTTTTTTCTTTTGTTCAAAGAAATGTACAGCACACTCACTTGAATGTCTAATAGGTTGTTTCAGTGAGAGTTGTTGAAAGATCAGAACTGTACAATACCGACTCTCAAATGTCTTAAGTGTTCAAAAGCAGACAAATGCAATAGTCCATATAGGAAAATAAGAAGAAAGATAGAATACATATTAAACCTGGTTGTGAAGAACAGTTGTTTTATCTAAGTGGAACACAGGCTTTCGAGCTAAACCATCTGGGTTCCTCGTGGCAGTTTTTATTTTTCTATTTGGGTGCTTTGATGCACCTCCATGGCCAGGATACCTTGGGATTGTGCTCTAGGCTGAATAGCAGGTGACTCCTGATATGCTCTGTATGAATTTTGATTCTTTCTGACTGTGCTCTGCATTTACAAGAAGCTGAATTTAGCTCTCTGGTGATTCTCGTGCTATTCACTCTCAGTGCTGAAACCAACCGAGGGGATCAACGTCAGAGACACAAAGAAAAGGCACTTCTGCCTATATCAGGCTTCACTGTTCCTACGGTTACTTTAGTCAAGTTAAATAAAACGTATAATAGCCACAAATTCAACAGATTACAGCAAGAGATGCATTACATTTTCTCCATTTTTCCTAGGCCAATGAGTGTCCAATTACACTTAGCTTACATATTAGCTTCTCTCAAGAAACACGTTTAGCTGCGAAAATTTTTAACAAAATGTTGTAATGAATTTCAAATGGAGATATGGAGAAACCACAAACTGTTAAAATTTACACATAACTTTTTAAGAAACAAGTCATATCAACTTGTGTCATAAAATGTTGTCCTCCAGAAACACTGCAACACACCGAGTAGCAGGAACACTTTTCTTTACCATGATTAAAAACATTACAATTAAGTTAATGTTCATGTATTTAGCAGACGCTTTTGTCCAAAGCGACTTACAAGTGATAATCGGCATGTTGCCCTTGAGGCTAACAACAACAACAACAACTTGAAATCAGTCATGGAGAGGAGGGAACAAGGAGTGGACAGTAGAGAGGGGGGACGGGTGCAGGGAGGGTGCTAGTTTAGAAGATGCTCTCTGAAGAGCAGGGTCTTCAGGAGTTTCTTGAAAATTGAAAAGGAAGCTCCTGTTCTGGTAGTGCTTGGAAGGTCATTCCACATTTGTGGAACGATGCATGAGAAGAGTCTGGATTGTCCTGAGCGTGGTGTAGGCACTGCTAGCCGACCATCCTGTGATGACCGGAGCGGCCGGGCCGAGACGTAAGCCTCTGCAAGAGGATTCAGGTAGATGGGAGCCGTACCATCTCGGACTTTGTATGCTAGTGTTAGCAATTTGAATTTGATGCGTGCTGCTAGCGGTAGCCAGTGGAGCTCAATGAACAGAGGGGTGACGTGTGCTCTTTTTGGCTGATTGAAGACCAGACGTACCGCTGCGTTCTGGACCATTTGAAGAGGTCTCACAGTACAGCCTGGAAGACCAGTTAGAAGGGCGTTGCAGTAATCGAGGTGGGAGATGACTGTAGATTGCACCAGGAGCTGGGTGGCATGTTGACTTAGGTATGGTCTGATCTTTCGTATGTTATACAGCACAAAGCGGCATGAACGAGCAACAGAGGCAACATGATCTTTAAAGGTCAGGTGTTCATCAATCACAACACCCAGATTTCGAACTGCCTTTGAAGGAGCCAGAGACAGGAAGTCATTTTGGATTGAGATATTGTGCTGTATGGATGGTTTTGCTGGGATGACAAGTAGTACAATTATTCTTTGGATTATTGTTAGAATTACAGATGTTAAGACCGTCTCGTCTCGTCTCGTCTTCCTCCGCTTATCCGGGTCCGGGTCGCGGGGGCAGCATCCCAACTAGGGAGCTCCAGGCCGTCCTCTCCCCGGCCTTGTCCACCAGCTCCTCCGGCAGGACCCCAAGGCGTTCCCAGACCAGATTGGAGATGTAACCTCTCCAATGTGTCCTGGGTCGACCCGGGGGCCTTCTGCCGGCAGGACATGCCCGAAACACCTCCCCGGGGAGGCGTCCAGGAGGCATCCTGACCAGATGCCCAAACCACCTCAACTGGCTCCTTTCGATCCGGAGGAGCAGCGGTTCTACTCCGAGTCCCTCCCGAATGTCCGAGCTCCTCACCCTATCTTTAAGGCTGAGCCCGGCCACCCTACGGAGGAAACTCATTTCGGCCGCTTGTATCCGCGATCTCGTTCTTTCGGTCATTACCCAAAGCTCATGACCATAGGTGAGGAATGGGACGTAGATCGACCGGTAAATCGAGAGCCTGGCTTTCTGGCTCAGCTCCCTCTTCCCCACGACAGATCGGCTCAGCGTCCGCATCACTGCAGACGCCGAACCAATCCGCCTGTCGATCTCCCGATCCCTCCTACCCTCACTCGTGAACAAGACCCCGAGATACTTAAACTCCTCCACTTGAGGTAGGACCTCTCCCCCGACCCGGAGGTGGCAAGCCACCCTTTTCCGGTCGAGAACCATGGTCTCAGATTTGGAGGTACTGATCCTCATCCCAGCCGCTTCACATTCGGCCGAGAACCTACCCAGCAAGAGCTGAAGGTCAGAGCTGGATGAAGCTAGGAGGACCACATCATCCGCAAAAAGCAGAGACGAGATTCTCCTGTTGAGATGTTAAGACCATTAAAGGTAAAACGTATTCCATGCATGCTTAAAATAAAGCTCTGAATATCTAATAACAATTTAAACCAATTTTTCCAAAGACACAACCAGAGTACTTCTCAGGGAAGATGAACCATTAGGTGGCAGCCCAACACTTTCTGCAGGTCATGTTTCTCTACTGTTCACTGCTTCAGAAGAGCCCCATCATTAGACACAGCTCTGCTATGTTGCAGTGGAGTTCTAAAAATCCAGTAGAAACATCCTGCTTTAATGAACTGGAGTTTATAGATCAGATCCATTGCAGTCTCGGGCCTTTCATCCAAGTCTCATGGGACTAGCAATTTGGGGCATGATGTTACAGGAGAAACATTTCAAAGAGCACTTTGAAGTCATGTAACTGTGCAGTCCAAGTGTTGAAGACTGAAGAAGTGAAGTCATAGACAAGTCTGAAGGTCAGCCCAACAACTCTATTTTAATGTTGATGAATTCTGGACCAGAAAGTCGCATGCTCCTTTCCTAACCTTGATGTGGGGAGTCACAATTGGCCTGAAGATCCCTGAAACTGCAGTGAGAATGACGACAAACCCAACATGTCAGTATCATAAAAGGAGTAACCCATAACCCCGCTTTGACGGGAATCTTGATATAGCACTGTAAAGTAAAGTAAACGAACTACTCAGACAGAAATCAGTAACATGCAGAGGCCCACAGATTCAGGGTGGTAGAAAGAAAAAAATCACGGCATTGCTGCCAGTTGTTGCTCACTCCTCATCAGGAGCTCAAGTGTCCTCAGTAAATGCTGGATTTGCCTCCTGATTGACTGCCTCCATAACAATCACTGGATGATTGGTTCATTTAGATGTCTTCAGGGGTGTGTCCAGGGAGTGGCCTGGGGTAGCCCATGCCACCCTTGGAATCTGACTGGCCACCCCAGGTATCACCACACTAATTTACCTTTAAATAGGCTTTTCACTGTCCACAAAAGGCTTGGGGGTAAAACAAATAAAGCATAACCATTGGTGCCACCCATGCACAAAATTGTGCCTCACCTGGGCCACCCCATTTTAAAAGATCTGGACATGCCACTGGATGTCTTGTACCCTATCTCCAACTTCCAACACTACATTTTATTCTCCCAAAGCATCAGAGGTATTGCTCCGTGAAATGTGGAAAATGCATTGTGTTAGACTTTTCCTCCCTCATGTGGTTATTGCACATTTTTCTTTCTTTTTTTAGATTTGTGACTCAAATCCACTTGCTCTATTTTGAGTGATTTATACATGAATGAAGATTTATGCCTGAGAGCTCGATGTGCTGGTATTATCCAATCAAACCGGGCTGCTCAGAGGCTCCTGAGATAGCATTAAAGTGTAATATCAATGCAGCAATCCTGGGGTTATTGCCACTTTGAAATACCCATGGTCCCTCTGCTACTGCCACATGTTATGATTGTGTCTGTTGAGATAACGTTTCAGAGGAGATTGCAGAAGTAAGTGCATGGAAAGTTACCTTGTTTCATTTACATTATCAGAGAGAGTAAAAGAGTAAAATAAAGCAGGTGTCAGAGAGTACAGGTGATGTGAAATCACAAAAGCCAGTCTGTCTGAAGCGGCTGCAGAACTCATTTCCTGCAGTGTCTTTACTGCAAAGTAAACTAGGTTCATTTATTTTCCTGACAGGTATTTCTTTAGACTATATAAACATATATCAATCTGCCAGTAGCCT